GGGGGGAGCGCGCCTGGCGATGGGGGCCGCCGGTGACTGGGGCGGTAGGCGATGGGGAGCAGATGGTGATGGGGGGCGCGAGTGACTGGGGCGGGAGGCGATGGGGGGGCGCAGGTGGGCAATGGGAGACCTGGACAGGGTGACAGGGAGACCCTTGGCGCGAGGCAGGGATAGGTGGAGGACCCAGGATGCTGGGGAGGCAACCAGAGGGGCCACGAAGGGCTCCCGGGCGCCCGCGCGGCGTTGGGGAGAATCTGCGGCAGCCAGCAACGAGGGCGGGGCTGGGTGAGCAGGGCCCCGGCCACGCAGAAGGAAAATCTCGCACGGCTGGAAAAGCGGGTTTTTTTTGGTGTGTGGGGGGGTGGTTAGTCGATGCTTCCCTGTTTGGTTTCCACCTGACATCATTTTTCTGTCCAGCCCAGGGGCCCCCCAGCTGCCTGGAGCAGAAGCAGGACCCTGGTGGCTGGGTGAGTACCGACCTGCCTTCAGCACAGGCAGCCTGAGCAAACCCCTCTCAGGCCGGGTGCTTGCCGGACCAGTCCCAAAACCTGTGCCCGCTCGGGTTCTTAGGACTTCATTTCCCAGATCTATACACTGGCACTCCCACGGGCGGCTTACCCAGTATCCCCGTTAGTTCATAAAGGCACTAGGAGTCGTCACAGGTCTGCCACTTAAACGCAGGCTCATGGTCTGGGTCACCCGACAGCAACTGAAATGGTGACATGCACCAGTAGCTTGGTTGGAGGCTCTGACCCCAAGAGCTGAGATTTTGTGCCGTAAAGCCTCCCCTTGCCGCTGGGCTGTCTCCCCGCCCCTGACAGCACGTTCATTTCTTTGTAGTGTCTGCCTGGGCGAGAGCTGAGGACACAGGACTGGCTCCATCAGAGAGGCCCCGTGGCACTGGAAGCCGACCCAAGCACGGATCAGCGGAGGGCAGTTATGGGGACGGAGCTCAACGTCTGTGTAGCTGTACGATGTCATCTCATGCAGGGCACCAGATACATAGGTTAAGTGGGCCGAGCCGTGGTGTCGGAATCGCAGTGGACACCGGCCAGGCCTCCCCAGCCGGGAGCCTAGTCCCTGGCGGCTGGACATCTGATAAGGCGCGGTCCAGGGCGCCCCTGTGCCGCTCGCTGGTTCTCAGGTCTTGACGGTGCCCCGAGGCTCCTCTCAAGTTCCCTCGCATTGCATCCCTCCTGAGGGTGTTGCCTAAGCGTGGCCTGAATTCGTGCTTTTTACCACTGAGCTAAGTAAGGAACCGTCAGAGCCGAGGGCTGGTGAGGTGGTTGATGAGTGCCCGACGTGCAGAGCAGTGGGCGGCTGCGCACGCCCAGGACTGGCTCCGCGAGGCCCGGCGTGCGGGCGCCCAGGCGCGGGGAGCTGCGGGCCAGGGATGAGCGGCCGCGTGCCGCTGGCGGAGAAAGCTCTGTCGGAGAGCTACGCCCGGCTCCGGTACCGGGACGCCTCCCTGCTCATCTGGCGGCAGCAGCAGCGGCAGCTGGAGTCGGCGCCCCGTGGCACCTACCTGAGCCGGAGCCGCAGCATGTGGTACTCGCAGTACGGAAACGAGGCCATCCTGGTCCGGGACAGACACAAGCTCGGAGTGTCCCGGGATACGGGCCAGTCCAAGTTCTGTGCAATCATGTAATTCCCGGTGGAACACCCGGGCCCAGGCGCTGAGCTGTGCAGAGATCAGGCCACGCTTCCCTCCCTGAGTGGCCTTGGCGGTTTCCAGGCCTTACTGGGAGATTCTGGAGAGTGAACGTGAAGCCCCAGCTGTGCTTCAAGAGCCCAAGAATGCTCGCCGGGGCTCCCAAGCCGTCTCCACGCATCACGCGGCCGGCGGACCCGGCTCCGGGCTCGCTTCCAGCCCTGCCAGCGCGCCGGAGACGCGGCTTTTCTCTTAGGTTTCCAAGCAGACCCAGCAAGAGGGACATCCTGGCTTCACACAACCTTTTCAAAACTTTCCAGGTCATTTCCAGTATTCCCTTCTGCCTGGTAAAGAACGGGACAGATCTAGAAGAAGGTGAAGGAGTTCGCGTCAGGCCCGGCCGAGCATCGCGTGCGGGGCCAGGCGGGGTCAGCGGCCAGCAGCAGCCCCGCGGTGGGGCCTTCGGCGACAAGGAACGGGTGTCCCGTGCAGTGCGCGGCGGCAGCTTCTACGCCAACTTCCACGTACTCGAGGGCGAGCATGCCAGGGCATCCACAAACATTCCAGAAACCAAGAGTTATCCTTAAGTTCCGCGTCCGCTGCTTACGGAGATTTCGGACAGAATCTCAGGGCTGCAAAGGGCAGGCTGGGCCTCTGCGGGGAGGCGGCAGCCCGTCAGCCCTGTGGCGCCCCCCTGAGGGCAGTTCTTGCGAGGCATTTGCAAAGGATGTGCGGTCCGCTGTAACTGGTCTGCGTGGCTTTGCAAATGTCGGAGTATCTTTTGTCAGAGCTGATTTTTCTAAATAAATATGCTTTGGGACACTCCTTCCTTCCCCACTCTTTTACCTGTTTGTTCAGAATACGTTAACTTGGCTTCAGGTTTGTTTTTTTCAGTAACAGGAGAATCTAATGATTGCTACAAACCCCATTACAGAAACGCATAAAGCACAGCGAAAGTGTCCTGCGCAGACGACCACGAGCAGCAGCTCTGCGTGTGCAACCGTGCTCAGTTCTGAAGGCACGGCCTGCACTGCGCATCTCGTCCTGGAGGTTTCCTCTCGCCCAGCCGTCCAGACGGACATCTACGTCAGGCTTTCAGTGTCTGACCGGCAGCACTCCCGTGAGCCCACGGGAGGGCGGAGATACTTCCCGTTGCTGCCCTGCACACAGCATGCCGTGAGCCTCGTCGGACGTGGATCTTTCTGTGGGTGTGCAAGTTCATTAGCAAGCATCCCGGAAGTGGAACTCTGGGTCAGAGCACGTTCCCCAAATGTCAAAATGTCCAGCCAGAGGCTAGGCCTTAGTGACGGATCCTCGGCTTGCCTGCTGTGTGGGTCAGGAGGCTTGAAGTCACGTTTCCTCAATCTCCTCCCGGAGTTGAAGAGGGAAGCTGGCCCCATCTACACCGAGTAAGATCTGCCGTAAGGGCCTGCTTGTCCAGCAGCCCTGACACTGGGATCACCCGGTAGATCGTTTGCTCAACATCTTTGCAGTTCAGTCTAAGTCCTGCTTGGGAAGAAAGCAAACTGCAGAGACTCGTCTGGAATGCCTTTGCTGTATGTTGATGTGAGCCCAGATTAACCTGAGTATGGGGGGCAGTTAGTTTGACCCCAGGCATGGAAAGCACCTGGGAAGACAAGCACTGGCCACGGCCGAGGTCTGCATAGGTCAGGGTGTGCAGGTGACCGACGTGCACTGGCCGCCCATACGACAGCAGGTGCTAAGCTGCTCAGAGCCTAGGAAGCCACCATCTGCCAAAGGGGAGCCCAGGCGGCTGGTTTCCCCGGCCGGGGCTGGAGCCACCGAAGTGGACACGGCCCAGTCCCCGTCCTTGGGGAGGTCAGCCTGGATGAGGTGGGGAAGAGTCTGCACAAGGATGGCACGTGCTGAGGGGATGCTGGAAGGGTGCCTGCTGACAGCCGGGGGGCGGGGGCTCGGGGCAGGGGGAGGGTGCCATCGAGAACCTCTCCCCAGGACGGCTCTGCAAGGCCAGGCACTAACAGCCAGGACTGCTCAGAAAACAGTGTCAGAGGCGCCCATCTGCCGTCCACGGCTCGCAGAAGCCTCTCCTCCGTGCCGGGCTCTGCGCTGAGTGCTGGAAGACTTCTGCAGACGGGAGACTGTGCCAGCAGGACAGTGTCTGCTGCCTGCCGTCCGGGAACCCGCCCCAGAACGTGCCCCAGCGCGGCCGGAGCGCAGGGAGGCATCTGCCCAGAGAGGAGGAAGAGCGAGCGAAGACCGCAATGTGACCGAGGTTGTGCTCCTATGAAGAGGGCCGCTTGTTCTAGAGAACAGTTAGCGGAAAAGAAAGGCTACAGTGATGTCCCCCAAATCCAGGTGCCCTCCTGCCCAGGCTGAGGACCAGAGCTACTTCGACGGCCGAGCGTTCCAGGGTGTAAGCTTCAGAGCATCTCCGCACGCGCACCCGCGGGGCTGGGAGCCACCAGAAAGCACAGGCAAAGGCACATACAGGCACCTTTTTTTTTTTTGGTTTTATTATGAAAACAAAACAAATGCCCCAGGAGAAGGGTCCATGATTACCAGAAACATCAAAGAGTACTTTCTACCATTTTTATTCTGTTGTGTGGAGGCCAGCATTGCAATAAACAAGCTAAAACTACTTACATTGGACTCATTTTCAGTAACTGACATTTACAGGAATATACTAGAAACGGCACTAAAAAGTTTAAGAAAAGTTACGGTAAACTTGCATGCACATCATACAGAAAAGTAACAATTTAAATATAAAAAAGAAAAACTTCTGGAAGCGTGATGCCAGTATTGAGAAACGGGCTACACTGGGGGGGAACGCATCCTTTCTCTGGGTGGTGTTTTCCCCAGAGGGCTGTCACAGACGTGGATGTTGCATAAGAACAAAAAGAGAAACGAAAAGAAAACATATCTTACAGTTTGTAAGCAAGGTGACGCCGCCCAGCATGAGCACGGGTCTCTGCCCCCTGGGCCTCCGGGGCTCCCGTGAGGCCAACCTCCTAACCACATGGTTCCTTCCCCCTCGAGAAGAGGCCGTGAAATCTGCCCTCAGGTTCTCCGTGACACGACAGCCCTGCCTGTCCAGCTGCGGTCTCCCCGACACAGAGAGACGTGGAGATGGCAAACACCCACAGGCTGACCTCGAGGGGGCTGAGGACGTTCCGCCAAACTCAGAAGAGAACTCGGCTTTGAAGTCTGCACAGGAAGCCTTAAGAAACCACAGCACCACTGAACTACACTGCTCAGGATGGACGGCAGCCCTCTGCGCCATGGCGGCCTCCTCCTGGGGGCAGGGGAAAGGGGCAGAGGTGATCCAGGACCCATGTCTCCCGCAGAGCCAGCGGACAGTGAAGTGTTCTGAAATGCCTGCACTGTGCCGGGCTCGAGGGCCACACGCTCCCCCACCTGATGGCTCACACAGGCGACCGCCCCCCACCATGCCCGCAGCTGGACAGGTGCTCCATGGGAGCCCCCCACGCGCCCCCCAGCACCCTCTGCTTGGGGAGGCGCGCTTGCTGCACGTTGCCAGAGAGATCCTGCTTTAAGACCATCCATCGTGTCATGTATTAAAGTCCTAGTTTAAATATTCCGTTACAGATCTGCTTAGAAAACACCTCTGAAACACAAGGGTAACTCTAAAAAATGGCAAGTTGAAAAATCCACATATATTTTTATTATAAACAAAACTTAATGAAAAGTTTAACAAACTGGCTCAAAACTCACCAAGCGTCAGAATCACCAGCAGTAAGAAACATGGTAACCCACCACCCACCGCCTCATCGGTGCCGCGTCCGGCAAGGGCATCCGTGACCGTAAGGGCCGGTGGAACCTGAATCCATCTTAGGATTTGTAAAGACTGCCCCCCTACTCGGATACTGATGACCAGTCCCCCCGTCCGCCTGGAAACTCGCCACCAGACCCGAGGCAGGGCACCCGCAGCTCCGCCCCCAGCACCCACCTCCTAGGGAGGTCTGGGAGAATGCCCTATCTCAGTCATTTCTGTGCTAGCGGGAAAATGCTCGAGCAGGGAGCCCGGTGTGGTCTTTGAGGAGCAAACCCTCCTGCGGCCAGAGGCTCCTCCCGCCCCACAGCCCCACGGCCCCTGCCCTCGGGGCTGGGAGGTGAGGGGCGCCCCATGGGGGGGCCTGGACGGCCGGCCCCTGGCACTCGAGGCCGAAGCCACAATGCTCCGAGCTCAGGCGGGCCGTGTGGGGCGTCCCTGCACTCAAAGGCCGCGGGGCAGCCTCTGGGAAAAACAAAACCAAAACATAACCTTCTGTTAAACTCTGTATATTATTATTATTATTTTTTTTTACAATAGAAAGTTAAAAATCAAGACTTAGATTTACTATACATTTTTTTTCTCTCAGATTACAAAGTTTATATTATATAACTGGGGTTCCCTAAATTGATTTCTTTTAAAACAGTCCTAAAGAGACCAGAAGTGAGTACAAAAGAACTCAACACACAGAACGAAGACTGAGAATGTGCTGCAGCTGGTAGCTGTCTACGCCTGTACGTCTCCAAACCCACACACGCACACGGAGGACAGGCCCGAGCCCCGCGGGGCAGGGCCGGGGCGGGGAAGGGCGAGCGCGCGGCCGGGATTGAGCACCAGCACAAGTGGTGGGATGCCAGCACCTGGAGGCCACAGTCCGCCATCCGAGCAGGGCTGGGGCTCCCCTTCGAACCACTCTGAAAGGCCTGCACGTCTGCTGCTTTTTTTAATGCATTTCTTTGCAGTTTTGTTTTTTTTTTTTTTTTAAAAAAAATGACCAATGATGTTAATAAATAAAGTGTTCATATATACACGAAACTGGGAAAAGAGCTCCAGAGCGTGCGGCAGCGGCAGCTCACAAGTTGGGGACACACATTGGGCTGGACTTCGTAGAAAACTGCTGAACCTTACAAAAAAGTCTCCTTTTGTTTTTTGTTTTTGTTTTTTTAATCTTTTCTTTTTTTTTTCTTTTTTTTCTTTTTTTTAAGTTGAGGTAAAAGTTTCAGTGTATGGAAAGCTGCGCGCGGTACGCGCGGCCCCCGTGTTCCCTCCTGGGAGCTCCCGGCGCCCCTCCCTCCGCGCCCACCCAGCTCTCCCCACCCTCCCCTGCAGAAGCCCAGACTGGAGCCCGTGGCCGCACCGCAACCCCCCGCGGCCCCCCGCAGCAAGAGGCGAGCCGGCCGGCCTCGGGGCTGAGCTCGGGGTCGAGGGACAGAGACAAGGCCTGTTGGCAAAGCTGACAGCCTTCAGTACAGTACCATCTCAGAGAAACTTCCTTTCCAACAACTCCTTCTGGAGCTACAGACCAGGTCGGGCCTAAGAGACTTCAGATCACATCTGACACTGTTTTTCTACGGTCATCAGGTCAGCGCTGGAAGTTGCCATCTCCAAGCAACTGGACTCAGTTACGAAGAAAAGACTTTATGCGGGCTCGCACCTCCTCATAAAGCCTCACGGACACACGAGAAAGAGCTCTGACCTATTAAAGCAAAAACTGGAAGATACCATAACACTGAGTTAACAAGGAAACCTGCACAGCGTGGAAGGAAAGCAGTATATTAACCATCGGAGGGAACACTGCAGTCTGGGCGTGGGCGACATCGCTGTCCGGGTTCTGCTCCGCGTCCAGGGCTCATTCCGAGTCGCTGCTGTCGGAGCTGGACCCACTGGAGCTGCTGCTCCCAGAGCCGGAGGAGCTGCTGCTGCTGAGTCGGGACGGGCCGCCCGAGGGCGCGGAGCCCGCTTTCTCTGAGGGAGACGCAGCAGGTGAGAGGCGCCCCCCACGCCCCCCACGCCCCTGCACTCGCCCGTGCCGCGGCCCACCCGTTTCTTCACCCAGCAGCCCTGTCAGTATTAACAAATATGTGCCGGAATGAACACCTACATTAACGAGGTGATGGGACACTAAGAAATGCGTTTGGCCTCTGTCTGGGTTCCAGGCACAGAGCTCTGAAAACCCTTGGCATCCCCGCCGAGTGATGAGAATGTCTTTTGGTCATTTACAAGGAGCCCCCTGTGGATCACACCTAAGCGTATGCTCATGAGTGACTCGGGGGACGGCCGGACACCAGGAAAACCGCGGGATCGGGGCTGGGAGCTCCGGGGAAGGGAGCCTGCTGCAGATGGAGTGCTAGAACACTCTCGATGCTGAGAGCTTCCAGGGTTGGGGGCACGTGGGGGTGCAGGGAGGGTGGCATGCCCAGAGAGGGGAGAGACGCCGCATGCCCCTGCCATGCCTCTCCCTGCGCATCTCTTCCATTTGGCTGCTCCTGAGCTGTACCCTTTACAATAAACTATACATCTAGAAAAAGCTCTTTCTAACAAACTGTCACGTCTGAGCAGAGGGTCACGGGAGCCCCAGTGTACAGCCTGCCAGGCAGGGGTAAGGCAGGCCCAGGACTCGCACCTGGCATCAGAGAGAAGGGCGGTCTTGTGGAGGGCAGCTCCCCACCTGTGGGCTCTGAGCTAACCCTAAGTAAATAGTGTCCGAAGGGAACTGAAGTGCCGGACCCCACCTGGAGCTGGGATTGCAGACCTGGTGTGGGCAGAAGCCCACACACCTGGTGTCAGAAGTGTGAGTAAAAATAGCTCAGAGGGCCACAAAACTATCGAAATATGCCAGTCTAGAAAACACGAATGCAGTCCACCAGGAGGAACTAATGGGGTGTGGGGGCAGGTCAGCAGTTCACAGATAGCCGTCAGTCACATGGCACCTACTCTGTCCTTCCCAGGGGAGACCTGAGGGGACCCGCCCCACCTTCAGAGGGAGTGGGCAAGGCCAACGGCGGCACCCAGCTGCCACATGATCGTGGACTCTGACCACTCACTACCTGGGGCCCCCCAACCCCCAGGCTGGGCTGGGAGAAAGGGATCTGCCCTTTCTCATAGGCTCCAGAGGAAAGAGATAAGCAGTCAAATCACCTGCTCACCTAAAATAAGACCCCGCTGTCCACAAAGCACAGGACCCAGAGGCAGGGAGTTGGAACCTGTCTGGGGATGGCCAGAAAGCTTGCTGCCAGGGCCAGGACCCCAGTCCCTCTCAAGCCATGGGGTCCACCCCCAAAGACCACAGCTAGGCCCTTCCAGAGAGTCCTCTCCGGGAGGTTCTGGCATGGGGCACTCTCACACTTGCATGTGCTTGACCTCCCTGCAGGAGCAGGGCTCGGGTCCCCAGGTTACAGACAAGGGACTTGGGGTTTGAGGAGGTCAACAGCGTCATCTAAGGACACACGGCTCCAGAGCTGGTCGAGCCACAGACTGAAGCCTGGGTCTGCTGGCCACTCCCCCCCCGCCAACCCTCCCCTCTGGCCAGAGGACCGCAGCAAGGGCAGCAGCGTGGCCCACAGACAGGTACCTTTCTTGGCGGGCTTCTTGTTGTTGTTCAGCTGCCCGCTGACGTCCTGCAGCCGCTTCTCTAACTCCTTCTTCTTTTCCTGAGCTAACTCCTCCTTCGACTTGGCCGCCTGCTTCTTCCCGCTCGTGGCTGTAAAGGAGCACAGAGCTGAGCCGGCCAGCGGCCACCGCAGGCGCCACCCCCCCTCCTGGATGCTCACGTGTGCTGGGCCCCCGCAGGGCTGCCACCCGAGCTCCCGGACGGGCGACACGAACCCTTGCCACCGGCAGAGCCTTTTCTGTGACCCTCACACCTTCCCCACTCCACACAGTGCACAGATGGGGCATGGGCGGCTCGGCGACACGGTCACCCCTGCGCAGAGGGCGGAGTCGAGACCTGACGCGGACCCTCCGACTCGCCGTTCTCCAGCACGGATCCGGCTCAGCCTCAGCAGGGAGGCCTCCACCGCCTGTGCCATGACCTCAGAGTCCCAGAAGGACTTACCAAGGGCCAGCTATGCCGGACAGCGGGGGGTCACGTGACTCCATCCAGGAGGAAGCAAGTGACCCCTCAGAGTGAGGGAGAAAGCCCACTGAGGGCCACACGCAGGTCTAGGTGCACCCCGGGTGTTCCCTGGGGCCACTGCCCAGCGATCCTGCAGCTGCTGGGCTGCCTCGGGCCTGCCCTGCCCCTCACTGCCCAGGACCCGCTGCCCCAGGCAGTGCCTCGTCCCCATCCAGTAAAGTTGCTGACTTCCAGGACGAGCCCGGGCCAGTGCCCATGTCCGTCCTGGGAGGTCTCTGGACCCTCAACTCCAGGCAAAAGGGAACTGGCCTACCCTGGCTAGGGAACCACTGAGAGGTCACCTGCAACCGTGGTCCCAAAGGGAGCCTCAGCGTCACTGGCACCTGAATGAACGGGGGCTGGGGGCCGACCCAGGGCCCCTGCCTGTCCTGGTGTCGGCCAAGGCATGCAAGCGCTGCCCACCCGCCCAAGCACAGGGAAGAAGGGCCCGGCTGGGCACATGGTGGGAACGGGCAGGGAGAGTGGCCCACCCCACTGCCTGGCTTCGCCCACACCCCAGGCCTGCAGGGGAGGGGAGGAGGGGAGGCAGGGGTGAGGGCAGGGACGGCGAGCATGGTCCTCTGCCCCACAACTTACACAATGGCTTCCTTTGCTTCTTCTGTAAACAAGACTTGACGTATCTCTCTAGCTCCCGCAAAGTGGTGGGTTTCAGAGTCTCAAAGTCAATCTCTATCTCATCAGGATTGGAGTCCCTGAGCGAGGGCTCCCGGGACTGGATGATGTGTACCACCCGGCCCAGCTTCTCCCCGGGCAGCCGGTTGATGTCCAGGCTGAGCTGGCGCTTCTCGTCGTAGCTCATGGGCAGGCCCTCTTCCTCCTCCTCCGAGTCGTAGGAGGCTGATGCCTGCTTGCCACCCTTCTTCGGCTGCCTGAGGCACAAGGCAAAGAACACCATGGCACAGAGCCCCTGCCGCTGTCCCCCCAGCCCCTGTGGAGCCCCCTGCCCATGGCCCCCCAGCCCCCGTGGAGCCCCCTCACCCTGTCTCTCCAGCCCCCATGGAGCCCCCAGCCCACGGCCCCCTCAGGCCCCATGGACCCCCCAGCCCCCATGGAGCCCCCAGCTCATGGCACCCCAGCCCCTGTGGAGCCCCCAGG